CGCAACGGAGATCCCTATTGAAAATGGTTCGGATCGGAGTACTTTCTCAACTACTGCCCTTATAATGCGTCATTTTCAAAAGTCGTAGTGTGAATAATTATAGGGTAGTATGGGGGATTTATTAGCGGGCCGTGGATCATTATTGTGTTCTTACTTGATTATTAATGAAAAAATGGAGTCTCTTCGGTCGAAAATTGAACTTTTTTATTCAAATGCGAGTCAATCACACAACAATCGATATTTCTAAAAGCCCCTACATGATTCGCTAGATATAGACTTTTTTTCAATTCAAATTTGTACCAGTTACAGTGCGTGCCGCAGGGCCTGTTAAAATGATAATGCTTCGCGAGAATGGCTCCAGTGTTGCCTATTTCTTATATTTTTCAGGAGTTGTCTTCTTCTAATACTTGAATATACGCCTAATAACCTCATCAAATATTCTTATTCTTCTACCCTTTCTTAGATCTAAAAAGAAAGAAGAAACGGTAGTTCAACTGACCTCGACAGACTATGTAGATACGTTGGTGGTAAGAAGATAAAGTTGTGTTCTCTTTATGTGAAATGACCATAAATACGAGTATCGCAGTACTCTAATAACACATGTAAATGGATTCAATCAGTTATTGAGTTTTTGAGTCTTCGAACAGCACATATATAGCGAGCGATCAAAATTAGTACCTCTTTATGTTGAACGTCAAACCTACGAGGCGGTGTATGACCACTTTTGGTTGTAGGTACCATGAGGGGCTAGTCGATAAAGCTGCAGTTAGGTGCTCCGTGAGTGAAGACACAACAATTACCGCTCAGACACACATCTCCACCAGGTTGCCGCCACACCCTGTCTCCATCCCTTTCTCTCGTCATTTTATTGTGACCGTCATCGTTTCGCACGTATAGGAGGCACTCTCTGAGTGATTAATTTTAATAAAAAATAAATAAAATACCATCAATGCTTTTTGTCAGGCTCCCACCAAAATTGATGTTTTTATTGTAAAATAAAGCAGTTGCATAGCATGTAGGAATTATTAGAATTTATTACAAAAGTAATGAATCCATTCGGGCTTGTGGGCATGAAGCTCAATGGCTTCGTAAATAAGAAACATTGCCTCCTTGGAGTAAAGGATATCTCCTGCTGTTTCTAAAGAACTTCATGTGCACAAACTTTAACCCTTGCATGAGAATTGTGGACCGAAATTGTCCTTTTTGAAAACGAAAATATTATGGCAGTTATCTTTAACGGAAAACGCTACAGCCACATGATTGTTAATATTTGTGTGGCAGGCATTAGATACTTACGTTTGGGATGGTTTGTAGTTTCAACACACATCTTCTCGCGGCCCAATCACTCTTCCATGCTTCTTGGAAGAAAAATTGATTGATCGGGTAATTTCAGATATTCCTTTGAAAATCGGCCATCAAGGTCATGTGACAGCACTTGAGAATCATTGAACAAGCCATAAACCCTCTACCGATTGAGAGTTCATGATTTGCTCCACTAATTCATACTGACTTTATATTTCTTTCCCATCGTTCTTCTCATTGTTGAGACTTGTGCCGTAAAGTGGATAAAAATTGTTGTTTCAAACGATTGAATTTCTTACCAACACCCAAGTGCAATCATTAGCATGAAATCATTTTAAAAACAAAAGTGGCATGAATCAGTATTTAAAACAGAAACAAATCATCTTAATACCTTCTACCTTTTCATTTCCCTCACTTCTTATTTCAATTGGAAAAGCTCCCTTATTCGGCCGCTCTTTATTAAATTTATTTGCAAGTTTGTGAATTTTTACAATTCATCTTAAGGCGAAAGGAATTGTATTTGTAAAAACCGAATTACAGACATGCGTTGCATTTTAATGATAAATTTCCTACTTTTCCATTTTGACATTAGATTTCTTTTCTTTTTTTTCCACTCTTCCTCGTATAATGAATTAACTTATAACACGCAACTCTTTTACTACATAAAAGGAATATTTGATTAAAAGTTATTTATTTGTCTATTTTCCGAACAATTAAAGCCAAAACACAAGCGCAACATACAACTTAAGAACCTTAAGAAATCAATGTTTTAAATAAACAAATCGAACATATAATTTAAGCGAAACACTAATACTTTCCTAGTTATTATGGAAGATAATTTAAAAAATCTTCAACTTTGAAAAACTGGGTTGCAATCCTGTACTTACTATGAGACGTTTCAACGAGGGCTCCTATCTTCTTCAATTTTTTTCTGATAATTTTAAAAAGCATTTTCAAGCTTTGAATGCCCCCCAGTTTTCGGAACAGCATGTTTCAATCATTGATATCACATCTGTAGAGTTGCAAATTTCGAAGGTCTCCAAGTCTATGGGAAGAAACATTTCAAAAGCGTTTCCAAATTATGTCACAATCAGTTATTAGAATTATATCCATGAACGGAAAATTTCGCTTACGCACGAAAACGCATCTCGATATAAAGCGATTTTAGTGAATTAGCTTATTAAAGCTCTTTCTCTTCTTCAATTAAGCCCAAAATTTCTCTCTTTTTAGCTATTTTTCAAGCTCTTTATCTATAAAGAACATTTGATGCTTGCGCTGTGATGGCAACGCATCGTCATAGCCTTCTTTTCTCTGTGTATGACCAGCGACCTTGGGGAGTGTCATGCATTATAATTCAGCATCAAAATGGTGAACAGATCTTCTATTTTTCACATTGCCAGCAATTCATTTATTGAGTCCTCACGGATTTACTAGTCCAGTATCTATAAATTCTAACCTTGACGAGCCAATATTTTGCTCGATTTTTTGATTTCGTGTTTTCATATTTCCTAGTTAACTAAATTAGTTACTCAGTGGCAGTGCATTCGATAATACATACGTACATACATACATATAATTCATATTTCTTTTTAAAACGTTTTATTCAACAAAGCAGAGTGTTCTGGATTGAAACAATTTAGAAATGTGTTACATGCGTTGTATTATCTGTTTCTTCTCATACCTCGCAGAATGGCTTAATCATATCAAAGAAATTATATAATTGTCAATTCTCTAAAGTCAGACATACATAACGTCTTTCGTGTGCAGGTGTTTTGGAATTCCAGCCTCCATAGCCTTTTAGCAAATTCTTCTCTTTTTTTTTTGTCAAAATTTCCACAAATCGTTTGAAATCGCAGAACATATTAGATATTTTACTTCATTGATAACAACAACTGGAAATACGCATTTGAAGGGTTTACAGACCATATGCAAGATCCTGAGTCGAATTACCCTCGAATGAAAAAAAAAGACAACTTAAATCAAGTTTGAGGATAGTCAAGATTCGCTTAAAGCTAATAAGACATGCGAGCGGAACTCTTCAGTTCGCTTAGCAGTCTAAACAAAAGGTTTATATATTTTCAATGCAGTCTATCTACCTAGTGCGTATGCGCCCCGCCCGCAATAGGCATGATAGTAGCTGCAGCTTTAAGAAATGATTGAATAGCTATGAATATCTATCTTTCGAATAGAAATGATCAAAAAGAAGAGGTTTATTCTCTAAAATCTTTTCACATTATTTTTTCTTAATGCTCGCCACCTACACATATGCTTTCTAATACTAGATAAGTCTACGAACGATGAAAATAGAAAATTTATGTCTTGAATAGCCGGAGAATTGAGTTGAAATTAAATTATTGCCAGCACGTGGGGGAGGATCAGCAAAACATATTTATGGATTTATTTATGGATATATGTGAAATAAAGCATTTCAAAGTTTTCTGTTTTGGTTCGAAGCGATTTCAATTTCAATTTTCAGCTGTCTATGCCCGTCTTTTCGGTCCGTTACATTGTATTTCCAAATTAGTTTATTAAAATCAAGTCAACGGACATATAAGGAATTTTCTACCTTCAAATACGTTTAACAACAGCTATATTAATGGACAGATGGACGGATGGATGAATAAGATGGAACATTTCTTTATTAATATATTTATACATATATATGTGTATATACGATAGATAGAAATCATATATGATATTAAAGTATATGGGATATATGATATATATCTATATATATATATATATATACATATATATATATACATTGAAAGTAGAAATGGTTTAACAATTAGTGTCCGTCCGTACACTTGATTTCATTTAGCCGCTGAGCAGTTTTTTTTTTTTTAAATTTCCTCTGGAGGCTTTATTAGTTTAGTGCTCTCTTAAATGCTCTTAATCCGTTTATTTCTTATTTATTTTCAATTTGTCAATCCAAGCAGTCATAAATGTAAGACAGATGTGAAAAGATGAATGTTATTATAACTAACTAAAATACTTATTCAGTCTTAAGTATACATTAAAACTTCTCTATACTCAAATATATTTTACTAATAAATACATTAATGGACATACGAACCGATAACGAGGAATAATTCTTCAGTTATAGACAGGATAGATATATGGGATATATGACGCATATGCCCATTGTTTCAAAGAAAGCTTGACAATTAACGTCCGTCCGTCCACGTAGTAATATATTTTTTGTGAACTTTCTCTAGAGTTTATTAGTTTACGGTTCAAAGTATTCGGTCCATTTCTTTTTAATTTTCAATCCTTTAACTTAAGTTGTCTTAAGTGACAGGTGGAAAAATGTGAGAAGTAAATAATTAAAAGACTGATCTTCCCGCATTAAGAGTATCTTAGAAATTTTTTCTACCCTCAAGTACATTCCACCATTAAATATATTAATGAACAGACAAATACTTCTTTATATATATATATACATATATATATATATTATAAAAATAGTAGAAATTTGTATGGTTTCAGCACAATGTTTAGCAATAACTGTCCGTCCGTTCGTACACTTGATTTTATGTAAGCAGGAAGTAATCTGTCATTTTCTTTCAAGTTCTCTGAAGGCTATATAAGTTAAAGGTTCAAAGTAATCATAATTCATCCATTTCTTCTTAATTTGCATTCGTTCAACACAAGCTGTCTTAAGTAAAAGGTGAATAGCAAGTAGTTAGAAAACTTACCCAGCGTTAAGAGCCTGGCGATAGATTTCTAACATTAAAGCTTCATGCAACATTTTATGAATTTTGTTGTAGAGTTTTTCCTTTTCTTGACAATATTCAATAAATACACGAATTTATTTTATAATAAAATAATTTTTTTTAATTTCTATTTTGTTATTTTTTTCTTTATATTTCTAATAGGGGAACTTTGATGTATACTAGAGCACGCTGGTATCGGGTTTTTATAAATATTTGTGTCAGAAAAGTTTTGTTTTTTGTTTCTTTTTTTTTTTTTTAATATTTTATTTTTAGTTTAAAGTGATTTATGAGGCTGATGGGCGCAACCATTCACATACGTTCACACGCTTATAATTAATAATTTTTTTTTTTTTTTTAATTTTGGAAATGTATTTAAAGTTAAATATTTTTGGAGGACTTATAATTTAGATTTGTTTTAAGAGGAGGAAACTTTTTTATTAGCACTGACGTTACGATTTCGTATAACTGGATTTTTGTTTTGGTTTGTCTTTCTCTTATTATTATTATTTTTATTATTGTTATTATTATTATTACTAAAATTTTCAGTGAAATACGTTTAGGAAAAAGAAAATAATGCATATTTTTAAAATTAATTTTATTAAGTTATTAATTCTTCTCCTTTCTTTAATAATTAATAATTGCCATGAATCGTATACATTGGTTGAATTGTAGGTAGTTTAGTGAATAAAGAGTGTGGGATTTTTTCTTTACTATTATTTAACTATTTTTGTGGTTTTTGTGTTTTGAGCATTTTATTTTTTGAATTTTTTTCTAAATTTTGAACTTTGTATTTTTTTCTCCTTTTTTTAGACTTTATTTTATAATTTTTAAATTTTCATTACGTATACTTGTTGTAATATTTGTTAATTTTTTTTATTTGTTGTTTTTTTTTTATGTTTTCTTATTTTGTAAAGAATTCTTTTTAATAATAATTAGTTTTATTTATTTATTTATTTTCAGTCTTTCTTTATTTAGTAAATAAAAGTTTATTCATCTTCTTTTCTCTCTTTCCCTTTCCCTTTCTCTCGCTTAATCTTTTTTCACAAGTAATTTGACTAGATGTTGATAATTTCTTCTTTTTAAATAATTGCATTTAATTGCCCGTTGAAAACACGTTCAAGCATGTATATGATGCTTTCTGGCTTTTAATTGAATTTCCGAATTTTTATTAACATTTTTCTAGTGTTGATGATGTCAGTCATACTTTACTGTAATTAATTGATTTTAACATTTTTTTTTTTGATTAATTTCTGTTCTGAACTCTTTTTTTTGTTTTGGTATCCGCGTGCGTATTCTAACCGTCGTTACCCGTTTGAGAGTCGAACAACGAATGTCGTCACTTGTTCACAAAAAATTGTCTGTTAGCTCCTAACTGCCTGCCTGCCTGCCTGCCTTCATGGCTTTGACTGACTGCTGCTATGTACATTGGCCTGACACACTCACAATCAACTCAAATACATGCAATAATAACAACAAAAACAACAACAATAAAAGCAACAAGAGCGGCATACAACCATCATTAATGGTGATGAGATGATGGTGATGGTTCTGCTGCTGGCTGTGACTAGCTTTGGCTGCTGGTCTTATTGTTTTTGCTGTTTTAAGGTTGCTCTTATATTGTTGCTGTTGTGTGTGTTTGATGCGTTGTTGATGCTTCTTCGTAATGTCGCTGTCGTTTCGTGTCTCGCGTGTCTTCGTATGTTTATCAAATGTTCAGTTGTGCTCTGCTGCTAGTATTCTACTTTTTTTTCTCTGCTTACTGTGATGCGTGAGATTTGTTTGTTGGAAAATTAGATGAGTCTTCTTTTTTCCTTTTTTTTTTTTTAATGAGTTTATACAAAACTACTAACACAATAACAAGCTAAGAGATATCTTTTAAAAACAATCATCATCAATTAGCCTAAAAATTTATTAAACATATATATATAACTAATTTTCTTTTTTAAATATAATCAAAATTTTGTTTTCTAACATTTTTGTTCCCTTAAGTTACGTATTTCCATGCACCCGTCGGTATTTAAGTTTTCTTTTTTTTTTATTTAGTCGATGGGATCTTAAAAATATGCTTTAATCTTTAAGAGCTCCGTATCCATGTTACTTAGAAGTAACGTGCTTAACTAATATTCATGACATTTTTTGTCATCCCGGACTACATAAATGGAATTTCTCAATTTTTTTTTTGTTTTTTTTTTTATCATGTATTTACACATTTAAGAACTTTATCCTTTAGTGCGCGTATTCCAAAACATTTGGTTTGGTTTTTCTCTTTGTAAAAATTCTTTATGCAAAAGCTCAAAGCTCTTTTGGGTACACCATCAATAAAAAAATATAGATGTATTTTACAATTTTTTACAACTTCACACTTTAAAATGACGACGGCTTTTTAAATAACTTTATTTAAAAAAAAAAAAAAATTCCCCGCACGCAATAAATAATTAATAACACATGTTCTAGCGACTTAACGAACGGGAAGAGACTGAGACTAAATATTTTAAAAAATAACGTGTCAAAATTTTCAAAACACTCTCTGATTTTCATATCAAACTCTTATTGCACTGTTTCCCCTGAATTAACTCTTGTTTTTTTATCTATAAAATAATACATTCGTCGAAAACTCTTTCCATTTTGTACTGCGCTCACTTATTTCTAATCTCTTTGCAAATATGTTACTCCTTCGTTAGCGTTAAAAGAATACGTAAATCTCTTTTACAATTTATTTTATATTTCCATTTATTTCGTATAATTCAATTGCAAGTTCTTTTTTTCCTTTCTCCTTCGACATGTTGCAGTCATACTCAAAACCAGTTGTTTCGTTATCAGACTGTTTCGTTCTCTTTTTAAAAGTGAACGTTTTTTTTTTGTTACAATTTTGACGTGCCTTCCTTGATGAAATGCTTGATGCTCATTAAATTAATAAAGCAAGCATATGATAGACAGTGATGGCATTATGTAGAAAAGCAAATGTAAAACACATACAAAAAAACACGTGCTAGCAAACATGAGAGGTTGTCTCTTTTGCTCTTGTTATGTATAGCTTAGTGAGGGATTAAAGTAAACTAAAACATATTTTCATTGTATTTAAAAAAAAAAAGTATCAATGGAATTGATAAACATGATTAATAATCTAAAAACCTAAAATTAAAAGCAATCTTTTTCAACTAATAACCATGTCTGCGATATGTAATTGACTTTGGAGATTTCTTTTACGCTTTTTACAAATTATTCCTGGTATATTCAATAAGTTTGTTTGCTTTCGTTTTAGGTTCCGTAATGCAAATAAAATTTATGACAGTTCTTCCAACGATGATTCCTTAGAATGCTTGTATGTGTTTGATCTTGTGTCACGTTCTCTTCGCATTGCAATCTTTCTCGCTCTAACTTACAACCCATTCGATATTAAACTCTCGTTTGACATTTTTGTCTCCCCTATAGTGTGTGGTAAAAGGGGTATGTATATGCTATGGGGTTTTCTGTCTTTCCTGTTTTTTCGTTTTTCTTTTCACACTGCTTATATGCATAGATATAAGCATGTATGTTCTCTATTTAGTTTGAAATGAAATGCCAGTTTTCTTCATTTCATCATTTTCGTAATAGTGTCGTCGTTTTTCTTTGCTTTTGTTTTGCGACGTACACACGGAGGCTACTAGCTGCTGGCTTTGGCTACTCTACACTAGGTAAGGGTGTATAAATATTTATTTGTGCTTTTGTATGTAAAAGTCTTGCGAAAATTTTCGAATTCGTTGTTAGTTTTATTTTCGTCATATTTATATCCTCATGCTACCCTTTCGTATTGCTCTTATGTATAACGTGTATATATGTATGTACACCTAAACATTTTCTTTCTGAGTCGTTCTGTTTTGCTTTTTCTCGACTCTTATTGTAACAGAGAGTTTTGACTGTTCATTTAGCCTTTCTGATGTGTTCCTTAGTCTGTCTGATTTTCCGTTTGTATGTATTGCGTTGAGGTGTAGAGGTGTGTTTCAAATTGTTTTATTTTTCACTATTATTTTGCTCTTAGTTTTATTTGTTTTTTCTTCCCATCTTTTACTTCAATTGCAGATTTTCTCGATTCGCTCGCGTTCTCACCAAGGGGAGGCGGCGAGCTTATCGTGTTGCACTTGTTTCATATTGTAGTTTACATTTATTTTTTGTTACCGTCTCATTTGTTTGACGTTTTGGTGTGTGTTTCGTCACAAGTTTTCATACACGACGAGCACATTTACATATACGGTTTTATGCTGAACAAATTATGTAAACTTTACAATGCAATGGGTGGTAGTATATGTGTAATGTTTCAATGTAGAATGTTCTGCTTAACCCTCGCGTTTTTTTATAAGTATTGTTGCGCGTATGCATATAAATGCTTCAACTGCATTACCTTTCTCTGTTTTCGTAATTTGGCAGATCCGTTGTCTCCAAGTAATCAATATTTCTAATACCTTGTCTGGGTATTGCCTTCGCTCCAGCCTAGTGTTACGCTATTGATTTTGTTGTAGGTTAAGGGTAAAGATAAATTTTTTGTATAAAAAATGGCGGAGATTGACTAGAAATTTTACTTCAAGATTAGAATGGGTGAGTTTTACATAGAGAAGAGGTGATTATTTTCTGCTTAATAATTTCTTAGAGAAAATATAATTGTCCAAAATATATATATATATATGCATATGTTTTAGAATTATTATATTTATCAACCAAGGGATGTTTGTTACATGTGCGACAGAAAGAATTGAGAAAAGAGAAAAAGACTGGGACCCTCTCACCAAAGCTGCGCTCAAGTTTGATGTAATCGCGCTGCGATTTGAACTTGTGGATAAGATCGACGTGGTAGCCGCGACTCTTTTCTGCTTTACTATGTTATTCTCTAAGTATCTGCCTATCGGTCTACTGTCGAAAATCTTCCATCCACCATGTTAAGAAACTGCAATGAAACGAGAAAATTTTTTCGTTCTTGCGAAAGAAACAAACAAAAAAAACAGGATCTGGTTATAAAACCCTATCAAACTACAAGAATACATATGGCTCATCGGTGTAAAAAGCACAGAATATACTAACAGTATTAGCCGTAAGGTGCAGGTTTCTTAATTAAAGGTTAATAGGGTGCAATGATTACTTATCTAATAATCAAGAGTACGACTTTGTTTAAAAACGGTCAAATTATGCAAAATTTACGTTAAATCTTAAGGAAATTTCTTATGAGTCATGATTCGTATTCGCGTGCATAGATATTCCACGAAATCGATAAATAATTTATTACTGAGACTAATTCGAAAAAATTTAACTAATCTTTTTTCATACACCTATGATTCTCCTTGTATGTCTATATATATTTTTAGAATTATTTAAGAATTTTATGTAAAATAATAATTTATCAAACATTACTTTTATGTTATTTCTTAATGTCGTTAAAATTTTATGGCAACAAAATTATCATCAAAGAATTTTAATAAAATATAAAAGCAAAGAAAGACCAAAAAGTTTTCAATCTATATTGACTTCTCTTTGCAGAAATCTTCACAAAGGTA